GAGAAGGCGATCGAGTTCCTCCGACCGCTGCAGCTGCTTAGCAGAGGGAACAGCGAAACGCATCTGAAATCAACAGCCGCTGCGACAAGTTACTGCTAATGTTGAAATCGCTGGTACTCTTCGAATCAACGATGGCTACCTGCACATAATCGCAACAACGCGAATGGATGGTTCGAGGTGGCCTAGGCCATGTACCAACTGGATGTGAAGAAACGGAATTGAAGCGGCGACAATAGCGTTCCGCTACTAAAGGCTGGCTTCTTCAGCAGTGGTGTCACTGAGGATCAGGTGGATGCATTGAAAAAGTGGTCTGCAAAAATCGATTTCTACTGGCGATTGTTTACATCGATGTTGGCTTTTAGCACCACCTAGTCTGGGTCCCACAGCCACATTAAAATAAAAGCCAATTAACCCTATAGCCTAGCCGATTTCGAAGTGTTCAGCCCGAAAACCTAAAGGATACCTAAGTAGTGAAGGGGTGAAGGGCCATTTCTCTTCCTTTCTCCCACACAAAGCTGCAGTGAAACGGACGCAATTTTGTAACGTGATTCTAGGAAAGGGGGTTTGATTGATTAGGACACCTGGTGAGGTGTAATTGTGCATACGATGTTCCCAACAAACAATTTGAGCTGATTAAAAGCTGAATAACCTATTAATTAGCTGAAGAAGCATATTTTTGCCTGATTAAGCTCTTATTCAGCGCTCAATGTTTGTTGGGCTGATAATTAGTGATAGCCTTTATCCGGTATGCACGGATTGAATGAATGATTCAGATGCTTGTCCTAACAGGGAACACTTTCGTCCAGAATCCAATGATTCTTTCCACGCCTTCCAAAGTTCAACCCCACTTGAAATAATCTCCAGCTTCAAAACACGACCGAGCCACCTTTAAAAGCCCACCACTTGGAGGGGCCAAAATCAATTAAAGACCGATTAACCTAAAAACTTTCCATGCCCCATTTTATATTGCTGCTGGTATCGATTTCGTCCGCTCCGCTAATCCCGGCAGCTGGTCGGTGAAAGGTCGAACCGTTCGGAAACGTCAACAAACGACCCAAAATAAAAACCAGTATCAAGGTAACGAGGCCAAAGGCTACTCTCGTCTCACAGAAGACAGTCACTAGGTATATTAAGCGAAAGCAATTCCATTCGGATTAGCTATCTCATCCCTGGAGAAGCGGAAGCGGACCGGCCGGGACTACTGTGTAATCTTTTCGGTAAACACTCCGGCGTGGACGACAAATTTCAAATTTACCCATCAGAACTTTTGCGGTTTGACGGTCATATTACCACGGTCGACGTCGACTCTGCTTGCCTTTGTGGGATGATTTGTCAAACCGAGGGGTATCGCGTTTCAAGAAACAGACACGCATCGCTCATCGGATCAGTTGTTGGTCAGTCATTAGAGAACCAACCGGAATAATGAAGCAGCAGAGGGGAAGCCTTTTAACCAAAAAAAAAAACGGGTGTTTGAGTATAAATTAGAACTCGGCAACGGCAGCAGCAGCGTTAGACCATAATTTATGACTGCGCGTCGTTATCTCAACGTGAAGAAAGTGGTCGATCGAAAGAAAGCCCCTCGTTTTGTTTTTGTTGTGGATGTCGGAAAGGTTGCGTGACGATAGGCTCGCTCGCTGCTCAAAAGAACACAAAGTTTCTTTTATTATTCAAAATTTGTTCAAAATTGATTGTGCAGCGGCGGGTAAATTTGGAATACGGGCGGAGGAAAGATAGCGAGAGCTACATTCAAATTAGTCTCAGCCAATATATCTTCTCCGGCCGTGGCTTTCGTGTGAGGCTTTCTCTCGTGTTAGAAAAGAAAAACAGCTTGAAAAGCGTATAAATTCTTATAAAAAATTAGCCCCCATGTAGGAGAGATTATCAGTTTCCTTTTCCCATTTTCTATGACTAGAACCCTAATCTACGTCAGAGTAAAAAAAAAATGTTTTTAAAAGAAACAACCTGGAGCGGTTCGTGATATTGAATTTTAATGATGTGAGCCTAGCCAAGGAGTCAGCGATTAAAGATCTCCGTAAGCCGTTCCGTTCAATTTATCTGAGTCGGGTGACGTGTGGAGGGTAAATTTAAATATTTTATAGTTTGAAAATAGCTCGTAAATTTTCCCGAAAAAAAAGCTCCGTGGGTCTCTGCTAGTATACGGGACCGAGTCTCACACACAAAGCAGTTCATGGACCCTTAACTTCGAAAATACGAAGTGACAGAACAGAAAAGAGGGAGAGCGAGATGGAACCAATCGAGAATGGATTAAGGCAATAAAAATTTATTGAACAGGTTTCTTTCGAGGTTAGGTTTTTTTTTGGGGTTGAAGTTTCGACGAAACATAAAAGGTAAATGATCTCTCTCGACGACACGGGCACATCATGCAGGTCAGGGTAAGGAAGATTGCTTCCAACTGCGTGAGAAGAATGGGTAGAAATTTCGAGAGCGAGAGATCGACAATCACGAATCTCAAGTGTGCGGTGTCACCTTTCCCTTCAGAACCCAGGAAGTCATCCTTTCGCACACAGCTGCCCCCGATTTTTGAACGCACAAAGTCTCCCGTTGAAGCCCGGATTGAAATCGATACCCTTCACTCACGCACTCTCAACTGGTAGCCTTGATTTGTGTGTGGGAAGACCTAGAATCTAGGAATTTGTAGAACAGACGCAGCAAGCGTCGATCGAGTATTAGTTGTTGTTTTGAGGTTTCCCAGCTGTCAACGCGCATAACAGTGACAGCAGAAGTGATTGATGTGTGAAAAGTTTCGACTATGTGGAGGAATTTGTACGGGTTCGGGACTTCCTTGTTTCGGTTAACCACCGAAGGGTTTATTGGTTACTGACGCATAGAAAGCACTGGAACCTGGATTGGATTGGCAGCCGGTAAGTGCAATATTTTCGCTGGAAACGTGATTCTGTCAATCTGTCAACTGTCAATTAAAACGAGCGGAGATCTTCGAAGCTGTTACCTCGCCAGATCTCTCCTCAAGAAATTATCTTCACCGTGTCTCACCCCGGAGGTAAGTGACAATCGGTAATAAAAATGTAAATAAACCACTCCTCTGTCTGCGAAAAGGAGAAAACAACCGATCAGCCTACGTTCGGCCGAGAGATTCTCCCGGAGACAACAAATCATAAACCTGTTTCTGTTTGCAGCAGCAGCAGCAGCAAAACAGAAAATCAAAACCTGATTCTAACCTCAATGATCGGGATGACGATGACGCGCGTGATTGGAACTTGTTTCTGTATGGAAACGAGACACACACGGGCGTAGGACACAAAATTTATGCTTTTGCGTCGTGCAAAATATCACATCTACCTGCCAAACCGAGGTCAAAACTCGATAAATTTATGCGCGCTTAAACCATGCGTCTGCCCGCCCGGGGAAATGTGTGATTTATAGTTTTCCCCCAGGCCACTCTGCGGGCAGGTTAATGACCCCGTGTCGCAGAAAGACTAAATCCCAAAAACAAACAAAACAGTAGCAATGACCCGGAGGACCCGAAAACAGAACAAATAACGCAGCTTGAGCAAATTGAGAGTGGGACCTCCTGTCAGGGGTCGTCATGGTCCCGGGGTAAAAAGGGAAACATGCTTCCTTTCTTTCTGTTTCTGCATTCCCTTTTCGCCATACAGCCGTAAACTGTCATTGATACAATTGTTTACGTTTCGCCTCTCTTCGGAATCGATTGCCAATAAAGGTCGAACACAACAAACAAAAAGACGACAACGAAAACGGAGACATTGTTGTCCTGTCCCGGCACACTTCAGGAAGCGCACAGAACCCAAAGGAAAGATCGAAGGTCTCACCGCAGGATCCCGATCGGTCGGTGCACGATCCGGGCCCGTTCGGTATTATTAATAAACGATAATAAAAACATAAAGAAATTAAAATGTATTAATCGAATCGGCCCATTGTTGTCTTGTTTCCTTTCGCGGCTGAACGCCGTTCGTTTCGTTTCTTCTTCGAAAAAGGCAATAATGGCTCCAGACAATTGTAAAGCAATTTGGTCAAAGCGATATTCGCGTTTGACAGAGTTGCAACTGGCCGCCCAGGCAAACGAAGCGTGTGAGTGGGGCTGAACTATACAACTGAGAAAAACAAACTGGGGCCAATGAACGGTCCCGCGCTCGCAAGCTTGAAATATTTACATTCTCGAGAAGTGAGCCGAAGCACTTATTTGATATTTACATTTAATAAACGTATACAGCGCTCTTTTTTTTTTGATTCTTCCATCTCCCGGTTCTAATCGCCCAAAAGTGGATATTGTAAGCTGAAACAATCCCGGAGCGCTGCGCTCGCTGGCAGCGTAAACAAAACGCCAAAACGAGTGTAAACATAGCCGGTGGAGGAGGACGACGAAGAAGAAACTTCAAACAGTCGTAAAAGCAAAAGTTTTCGGTAAACTATTTCGTTCCAAACGGTCGATCGTTTACGATCCGGGGTGGTGGTGGTGGTGGTAGTGTGACGGAAACGAGAAGCAGTTGTGTAATAATAATAAAAAAGTAGAATTAAACTGAAATGTAATAATAACAATCAAAGAATTAAAATAAATACATGTGGTCGATTCGTACGGCAGTTCGTGAGGTTTATGGCAATAGGTACGGGCCAAACTTGGACCAGGGATGGAGCAGGGCCTTACTTCATCTAAAATAGAAAGACCCATGTTTGGAAAGTTTGGCCGCTGTTGCCGTGGGTGGGTGGATGTCCGTTCGTGCAGCGGAAAACATATGCGTGAGAGTTTGAATAAACAATAAGTTTGTTGTCGAGAAATGGAAAAGTTTCTCCATCATCGGAGAAAAGAAGGTTGGAGCAGCAGCAAGCAACAGCAGATGGTAAAGTTTGTCTTTGTTCGTGTGGATCAAGTGCGTTTCGGAGAGTCGTAAATTGTTTATGGGAGATGGGGCTTGGAAGCGAACTGTAAACAAAGCTTGTGACTATTGACACTCGATTACTGTTTGCAATGACAGTTATAGCTGTGCAATGATGTTTGTTCGTACCTGTTTGACAATTTACGACCAGCATGGGAGTCTGAAAAGATAAAAGACAAAGAAACGTTAGAAATGTGCGTTAAAATAACTAAGCTTGATTTTGAAAGAAACATCTGTCAACTCCTGCCTAAAGTGCTGTCAGCCATGGCAGCCCCATTATTGACCTAGTCAAGAAGCGCGCGCGGTTTCTCTTCACCCAACTGTCAAAATGCATGTGTCATCCCCCGTACTTCCACGCCGTCGTCGTCGTCATCGCGCCAAGGGAGGTCCATCTCACGTGGAAACCGCAACGGGCAATCATCCGTCCCCGATAAACATCTACCATGTGTTTAAAGTACAGCAAAACAACCTTTTTCCTCGCTCCCTCTGAATAAATCTTTCGATTGCGCTAACCATACAACGGCGGCCTACACACTCTACTTCAACTTCTCCTACCTCGACGACAACAACAACACACAGAGCAAGGAGCAAAAAATAATACGACTCACCAGAGCACTGAAATTATGTCAGAATTTATTAAAGATTTTATTTTTATGATTTATTCAACTGAGCGTAAACGAAACGTTCAAGATTTGGTTCGCTCCTACTCCTTCTTCTTCTTCTGCATCTTTGGTCTCCTCGTGGCCTCCTTTGATGCAGAGTGAGTCTCCTTCATCTTAGCAGCAGAGCGGAGCAGCATGGCCTACTACGGCTGCTGTAACTGGGGACGAGATTGTTTTGTTCAACGTCCAAAAAAAAAAAAAACTGCAAGTGCTCTTCTCGCTGATGGCTACTGGTTCGCATTTTCTCTTTTCTTCCTCACGTATTTACTTCTTTTCGCTCGCTTTCAGCAAATTTGTTTCCCTCGTATATATTTTTTTTGTGGTCCATCGGATACCAATGTGCATAATGACTGTTTCGGTCTTTGACATTTTTTGCCTTCCTTCTTTTTTTTTTCATTTATTCCCGTGGCAGATAAGGAAAGGAATCGCGAAGAAGGAACGACGCGCAACCCGAAGCGGTCAGATAAATTATCGGCGAGTGAAATCGCAAAATGGGCCAGTAGCTGGCTGGAATCGGTTGATTGCTTGGGAACCAGAAACGGGTTTCTGCAGAATTGCATTTCGGGACGGAAATTTATGCCGAGTGGGAATGGGAGTTGAAAATCGATAAAAAAAAAACTTCGTTGAAATATCGATTTGCTCATTAAGCGTAGAGGAGTGATTTTTCATGAAAGAAAATATCGAAAGTAGCTGGAGCGTTCTCATTTACATTTGATTTCCATGTAGGTATATGAAATTCATATGTTATGGACTGTTGTTCCAAAATTACCGAAAATTCAGTATCTCAAAAGGGCACGGCAAATTGCTCTTGGTTCAAACCAAAAAGACGTTTGTTTGGCCGATCACAGTAGAACCATAGAGGTAATTCTAAGACTAGAAGGTCCCGAAGAAACGTGCTCAACTTTTTGGCTCAGCTCTGGTACTCTCTTCGGTCCCAAGCTAATCGATGTACCCTTCTAAACATAAGAAAATCCACGAGCCCATCATTTTATCTGTCAAACTTTCAAAGCGAATCAAAACAAACATAGTGTAGTACTAGAATTTCGGCTGGAATGGGGTACGTAAATGAATTTGCTTGGGACCAATAGGCTTGTTAAGTAGTGAGCCAATTTACAATCTTTAGTTTCCACCGGTTGGTAGAACTGGCAGTTTATTCTCATATGAATTTCTGCTTTGTTTATGTTTATGTTCAACACCATAAGCACCAGATCATTCACACACTCTACATTTCTAGCTGTCAGTTCCACTGAGAAACGTCCCTTGGGTCACCTTATGCTGAGGAGAACTGACAGGCGAAGGAAATGTTGAAAGACAATGACAAGGCGATAACGAAGAAGTGGAATAGTTTAGTTCGTCCATTGCTTTATTTCAAGTCTAATTAATAAACCTACATTAGTTTCCTATAGTCAACAAAGGTAATTGCAGTTGTTAAAGGAAAATATTTCTATTACAATTAAACTATGGTTTATAACAGTGATTTGCACGAAGGAGATTGTGGGAGATAGTTAGCGTGGGAAAATGTCTATAATGCACCAAAATGTAAGTTTTCTACAAATGAATTTGAGCCAAAACCAACTCAAATATAAATTTCAGCTTTGAAGCTGCATTTGAATAACCTGCTATCAGAGAGGTGTTTCCTTTCCGTCCCGGTAAGAAAGCTTCTCCCGAACAGTGCCCTAATGATCTATGTATTGTATTTTGCAATCCCTCAATATTTCATGAACTGTTGTATAAAGGCAAAATCGCTCAGCTGTAATACCAACAATCAATACGAAACTAACGATTTTAAATTGGCTCACTACTTGACTACCCTATTGGTCCCATTCAAATCGATTAACGTATCCCATTCTAGTCGAAATTCTAGTACTACACTCAGGCATGGAAAATCATCTGCATTCATTTCATACATTCATTTACATTCATTTGCCTCTAACTTTTTTCATCAACAGCATTCCGCAAAATTATGTAAAGAGCTTTAGTGGGTTTTGTTAACGAACAGAAGCCACTACTGTTTTTCAGTGAATGTATTTTACATTCACTGAAAAACAGTAACAAGTTCTGCCCGCTCTAGTTCGTGATGCATAAGAGATACAGATTTGAGTTATCAGCAAAAATTGTAGCTAATAACAAAACATACAAAAGCTCTTAACATAATTTTGCGGAATGCTTTTTTTTAATGAAAAAAGTTAGAGGCAAATGAATGTAAATGAATGTATGAAATGAATGCAAATGATTTTCCATGCCTGACTACACTATGTTTGTTTTGATTTGCTATGAAAGTTTGACAGATAAAATGAGGGGTTCGTGGATTTTCCTATGTTTCGAAGGGGTGAATCGATTAGCTTGGGACCGAAGATAGTACCAGAGCTGAGCCAAAAAGTTGAGCTCGTTTCTTCGGGACCTTCTGGTCGTTACCTCTATGGTAATACCACAGACAAACAGACGTAACTCTTTGAAAAGTTTTCTTGAAAACAAATTATCTCAAAATATAGGACCTCAGTAACGACATCTCTCGGGCTCCTCGCGGAAAAGAAGCTTGCTCGCTAACTCGCAAACAATATTGCATAAATGTTCTATAGAATGTTTAGAAACGTTAAAGTGAACATTTCACATGGTCCTATTCTCTTCATCGACTTTCTCTTTTCATAACCACTGCTATGCAAACAGATTTCGCGCTAATTCTACCACATAGTTTGATAAAAGAGTTTCTTATCTAGCGTCCAAAATGTCAAATATGTACAACAGGGAAAGGTTTTGCAGCTGAGTAATTCGACAGTGAGCATGCATAAGAGCCTATACGCGATGATCGATTCTCTTCGTCGATTTTCTCTATTGTTAATAACTCGCTAGATTTCACGTTTCTCGGTGCGTTTGCTGTTGCTTTTGATACACGGATAGAAATCTCCTTATACTTTTTGACAAATTTATATTGCTGATTATTCATAAAATGTATAAGTCAACTAATAAGCAGACGCCTTGCAAAAAGTTAATGAAGCTCATGTGTCAAATGAAATGTATAAGCGGTCACAAATACCTTTTATGCATTCTTATAGGAGCTATGTGGTTGGTCTAATGGAATGTATAAGGCTGATGTTTTGGCAAAAATATATAAGTGAAACACATGAATAAAATAATTGATTTTCGTTTCGTGTAGCCAATACAACCTGTTACTATTCTGCATTGAACAAATTCTAGAAAATTGTTTTGCTTAGCTGTAGCAATGCAAAGAGAAAATTGATGAAGAGAATCGATCATTGCGTATTCGCCCTTATGCATGTTCACTGTAGAATTGTCGAAAGAGAATGTCGATGAAGAGAATCGATCAATGCAGATAGGACCCTTTGAAATGTTTATCTAGAATTGCGGCAATTTTGGACCCATTTTGAACCCATAGTGCAATGTGTGGAATCAATAGACTTTTCTTAAAGTCCAAGTAAATATTAATGCAGAATGTACGACAAACGTCTAGAAGTCTATTTACTGGGGATACTTCATCGGTCAAAGTGTGAACGGGGCTAACACGTACATTTGCTATTATGCATATCTCCCTTTTTCTGAAGCAGATGTCTCATGATTGGAGCAAATCAAGCTGAACATTGCATTAGGTCCTAATTAACATTGACAGATTCTCTTCGTCGATTTTGCATCCCCACGGCCATGTAAAGATATTCCCGATGTGTCTTCTACACACAGATCCAGGGGTTGAAACAGCTGACGTTTTTTACTACACTCGCTTCGTTGTCGTGTGCGACAGTCTGTTTGTATTCATACACTCATGATCTACCGTCATCTCTCTCACACAACACAACCGGTAGAATAACATTCGGACAAAAATAAAATTATCAAATAACTATCATAAGACATGAGTGATTTCGTTCTACTTCCTCAATTTGGTGTAAATTAAACCATTTCTGATCAAAAATGTTATTCCTAGGACATCATTGCTTGCTATTTTCCGAATTCACACAAGTACAACATCAGCAGCTCTTATTATGAGAAAAACTAAAATACATACTTTCGTGATGGTCTTCGGCGACAGTGTCGTATGACAGAGCCTGTCGTATGACACTTGAGTTTGGTACTGTACTATGATAGCTTCTTTTGCAAGTGTCGGAGGCAAAGGCAGTCGATTATCACAGAAAATGTTGCGACTACCGTGACCGCTTACAAGACTGCACAGATCGATAAAAGACGGGTTTTATCTAGCATCTAATACTACAAACACAAAAAGAAACGGTTATGTGCTCAAGTTATTAACGAAAGAGAAAGTCGACGAAGAGAATCGGTCAATGTTACTTAGGACCTAATGCAATGTTCAGCTTGATATGTTTTAGTAAACTTCTTCCCAAAATATCACACATTTACCTTTACATCTATCTCCGACTGACCTCTGATTCATGATCATACCACACACAAAGTGATAGACGACTAACTGTCAAAGAATTTTCTTAGAAGCTCGCGCCAACAGCCGCCAGATGCGCTAGTATTTTTGTTTTGA